GACTCAGATAATAAGATGTAATTTAACTAAAGTAAAAGTACATTTATTGTCAATATCCTTTGTTGATACTTTAAAATTTCAAACTTTATAAAAAGTTAAAATACTGGTTAAATAAAATATTTCTCCCATTATATTTTTGTTTCTCAGGAGTACAAAGTGGGCTCAGAAATGCAACAGATACCAATTACAGACACACAAGTCTTTCCATGACTGTTGTAAAGTGATTGTTGAGGTTAATACTCCTTTTCAATAACATATCAATGCCAATCATTTAAGTTAGTGAAAGGATTCTCTTAAAACACTAGTTGCAGACAGAACTAACCAATTTAGTAATGTTTCTGTTGAATCAGCAATAGTGATGTCAATCTTATCCCTGGTTTCTTCCTGTAACTGGAATTGAAAATACAAAAGTTTTACCTGATTTATTCACAGCCAAAGGAAGAAAGTAACTTCTGGTAAATGCAGATAGTCTCTCCAACCATGGCTTTCTGGTATAATGGTATATAACCTTCATTATACTAACAAATTTAATATTAAGTAGATTGAATACTATCTCTTACAATAAACTGAGACTAATAAACAAGTTCTAGTTAAGTCTAGTAGCACCCAAATCAATATTACCCTGTGAAATGTTTGATAATGTGTCATGTTTGTTGTTAGTGAACTGTTATTTTCTACATCAATTTTTAGCAAATATGAACCAAGAGGAGACAGAAAAAGAACACGGATATCTACATGCAAAAATATTAAAACATACTCCCCCTTTAACCTGGTATTACAAAGAAAGCACAAAATACGTTAATAATATCTTTATATGATGATATCAATATGCATTGGCTAGGAACTGGAAGCAGATATATTTTCTTTATAAAGTAATATGAAAAGAGAATATACCTTTTCACTGATTTTATTTCAGGGACCCTAATCCTTCTGTGATAGTATGCCTAATTAGGATTTCATCTCCAGAAGCCCTAAACTCATAGGCATTAGGCCTGCTTTTAGGGGAAGAAGCCCTTGAGGATCACAGTCATTCTCCCTTCATTCAAAAGCAAGCGGTCACAAGACTGTCACATACAACCTGATGACACAGTTCCCCAAACTTTGGCTCTAGAAAGGGAGATTTAAGGCACACACCTCCTAAGCATGGCTGAAGGCACTGCGACCTTTAAAAAGATCATGACTATAATAAAATACAAAGTTGGATGCTATTAAATTCATCAGATTAATGTTACACAGAGTGCTTAATACAGGAACAGTGAAGGTCAAATACCTTTCTAAAAAACAGAAATAAGAACTATGCATTCCAGGTCATGTTGCCTAAAACCTACAGAGCAGTCTTTACTGTTGTTAAATACTCAACACAACTTCAAAGCTATTTTGGACTAAATGGGGAGAAATATTTATACTGACATAATAAAATCTCTACTTTGGATGAGAAGACCATTTCTTCTCATTCAGGTAAAAATTAGGCATTTCTAAATAAATGCAGCTTTACTAATTTTATATACTACATATATACACTATGATAACAAGTTCTGCCTACAAAGGGTCTTATTTAGAATAACTTTTTATATCAACAGCTACTGCTAAGATGCTTCGTAATATCAAACTTTATTTGCACTAATTGTTTGCCTAGTATTTTTTTCTCTTTTATATAGTGAAAAGGTAAACATTAACCAAGTGTGTACCACAAATTCCAGGTTAATGAGGTATTACTTGTCCCCTTTGGAAAGACCAAGGTTAGCCGTAAGAAAATCCTATTATTTGCTGGCCCTGCATTATGGCGGAATGTAGACAATCTCACAATCTCCCACTAGCAGAAGCTGAAGAAATTTTGTGATAAAGGCTTCCAGATGGTAGTTAGTGGGCCACTTAATTTCAAAACAATTTAACCTTATTTTAAAAAACTTTCTTGGCTCAAGGATCTCCCTGAGCGACTTTCTCTGTCCTTTGTTGTTTTTAAAGATTTCTTTCACTTAACACTCCAGCAATCAGCCTTTTCCTTGTCTTCTGTTTATTTATTTTTTGTCTTCTGTTTAAAATTGGTATTTACAATGTATGGTAGAGTTGGTCTGCAGTGGTTCCCCGCACTAGTGTGGACTGCTTTCAACTCTACATTTAACACAAAAACTTCTCAAATTTGAAGTACAGTTCATGATGCAAGTCTTTACTTTTAAATTTGTTAACTTAAAGTTCCAAATATCAAGAATTTTAGAGTAAGAGTCTCTTCCTAAATCAGCAAGCATTTAGAAGTAAAATATGAACACTAACCCTCAGATCTACCTATACTACACAAATACAGGGAATGCTGAGAACCCTGACTGGCTTGTCCTTTGGTCAGCCAATCCCTGGCACCATGGAAGCAAAACATTCTATTACCTAATCTTCCTATTTCCTAAAATCCTAGGACTATTTCACCAGCTCAGTTTGGTGACACTTGAGAGAACTGGATTCTAGGAATAAAGATTACTAAGAATGTTCATTTCAATTCCAAACCCGTAATGAAGAATTCCATTCTAAACACATTAATGTTCCTCCTACCCTCTTCCTTCCCCCACTGTGAATGCTTTGGTTAAGTAGCTTTATCCACATTAAATTTTGGTCACTAAAATTGCCCAAGTGGAGCAATATCAAAAACTTACACAAAACAAGTGACTGAGCACCTAGAGACACTATCAATTTAAATGTGCAGTTAGCTATACGACTCTGGAACTGTATCTCACTCCTGGTTAATTTTTATAGCCATCAGTTACCAAAACAAGGAAGGCAGAGAAAAGAAACAGGGAAAAGTTTAGAAATTATTAGCAGCTCTTATAAAGATTAAGTCAAGATTTTAAAAAAAATAAAGAGATAAAACTGACAGCTAAAATGTAGATTTCAAGTAAAAGTAACCAAAGACAGCTGTATACTAATCAGAGATTTTCAAATGTACATACAAATATAACATTTTGCTGGAAGACATTTTGCTATATACAATGTATACATCTATATTGTGCAACAAAGACTAGACACTGTTTCTGGTTGGACTGAGTTTTAAGCCTGTAAAAAATCAATCAGAATATCTTCTTCCCTGGAAGCTGGCAAGGTTAAGTACCATATCTACATTAGAAAATCACCCAAACTGTTACTTAAATTAAACTGGTAATGAATTAGGAAGTAAACCTAAAGCATTTCAGCCAGAAAAAATTTGTTCCTATCAATTTTAGTCTTTTACTATGAACACATTATTTACTTTCTGTGAAAATATTTTATGAATCTTACCTAAATCACTTACTGACAGAACACTTTGGGCTTGCCACTTAGGCAATGCCTAAGTCACCTTTATCTTTCAGTTTTGTATTAATAGTATGTAGTTTCGTACATGTTAAGTCGCTTCAGCCCTATCAGACTTTTTGCGACCTTGTGGACCATAGCCCACCAGGCTCCTCTGTCCATGGGATTCTCCAGGCAAGAATACTGAAGTGGGTTACCATGCCCTCCTCCAGGGATAGAACTTGTGTCTCTTTTGTCTCCTGCACTGGGAGGCGGGTTCTTTAGCTCTAGCACCACCTGGGAAGCCCAGTTGTGTGGCTCAAATGGAAAAGTAAACAAAGACTTTTTATTACTTCTATTTAATTATATAATCACCTATGTACTACTTTGCTAGGCAGTAGAAATATACTACATAACTTCTATAAACATAGAAAATTTCTGGATCAAAAGGAAAAAAGAATCTTATTACAACAGAGTGAAGGGATTCACTCCATAGCAGCGTTTCACAACTGCAGTCATGAAACTCTCATGTTTCATGAATTAACATGTAACAAACAAACAAACTATCCTACAGTATATTCTCTTCTAAAATAAAATATATATATGACAAAAACCTAACATATGTACATATCATTATTATACAACAACCTGCTTTTAAGAAAAGGTGTGCCCAGTCATGAATGCCAGAAGTCAGAAGGGAGATCATCTGATGTTCCAATGTGTTTCAGGACTATGTCTTACTCTACAGGTAATATTCTCCAACAAACCATTATGTTATGACAAGTAAGTTATCTAATGATTGCTAGTGTGTGCTATGTATTTTATACTACAGTGTCAACTTATAGTTGTACTATTAGTTTTTACTGCATACTAGGTTAATAAAAATTTGGTCATTTCTACTGGCAATATGTGAAACCATTTCTCTGCTATATTTTAAGGCTGTATTAATACATTTAAAATATTTTATCAATATATTATTTTCAAAAGTACCCCATGGTTAAACTTGTTTTAAAAACTGTTCTACTGTGTAAAAACAATGACTGCTGTGCCCAATTTTATTTCAATTGTTGTCGTTTCTCTAGTTTTTCTTTAAAATTGGAGGAAGTTACAATTCAGTACACACAAAGTCATATCCGACTCTTTGTGACTCCATGGACTGTAGCCCACCAGGATCCTCTGTCCATGGAATTCTCTAGGCAAGAATACTGGAGTGGGTTGCCATGCCCTTCTCCAAGGAATCTTCCCAATCTGGGGATCAAACCCAGGATCTCCTGCATTGCAGGCAGATTCTTTAGTACCTGAGCCACCAAGAAAGCCCTTTTATACAGAGGCAAAGGAGCTACAGTGGACTCCTAAAACCTTTAAAATCTTTCTCCTGCTCCTTTAATGCAAGATATAAAGAAGTTTCCTACCTAACATCTCTTTTCAGTTGAAAGAAATCTGATAGATTTTTCCATCAAAACCTATTATTCTTTCTTAAGTTCAAGCTGGTTGGCTCCCCATTAAGTATAAAAGTGATTTGTTTAGACAAAAATGAAGTTAAGGTGGCTATGAACTCAGATGTCAGATATACATTTGTTTACCTAGCTTTGTTAAAGCATATTTTAAACCATTCTGCATAGTACGTCAGGTTATAGGCTGCTCTGGTATCATTTCTTGAATAAATTTCTAAATTCTTGTTATGATTAAGGCACTATTACAGTCACTGCTGGATTATACAAGGAAAACAACAATCACATAGAACAAAGGAGCAGAACTGAAGAGTTTTAAAACCCCACGTAAGAGTTATATCCCTTCCTTTGCCAATCAGTAGCTGAGAAAGGTTTAGGTCCTATGTAACCATCTGTGAGCTTATCTGAAAAACTGTTATCTAGACATAGGGGCAATACAAGAAAAGAGGGTTAATCCTGTTATGGTATAGCGGTCAACCTAAACTCAAGGACAACACTGATAAAAATTACAGCTGTGATAACTTCTATCTTCATGTCAACTGTCACAAGCCAAAGCATTGGTGGTTTATTACAGTACTGCTCTGCAGAATGTTCCATTCTGTTGTGTGATTCATGCAAAGCTTGAAAACTGCAAACAATCAGCTAAATTTGAAACTGCCATTCAGAGTGAATTATATTCCAAGAATCCAAACATGGAATTGGGCTTCTTCCTGCTGAATGGCGAGAAACACAAAATCTCCAACTATGCCATGGACATTTAAGATACAGTTTCTGATGGACCTCAAAGTCTAGTCTCTTTTCTAACCACCGCTGCTCAGTCTTTTACTGTTTCACACTACCCTGCACCCTTTTCAACCAAGAAGAACTTTCTGCATTCTGTGTGCAGCCACACTAGCTTCATCTTCTGAGTCAGATTCGCTCTGGGATGTGGAGCTATGAGAGGCAGAACTGCAAGGGGAAGAGCATTCTGGAGAACACAGGTAGTGCATCAGAGGGAGGCGGTATTTCCCACAGAAGTCCACAAATTTAATTTGTCTGACGCAGCAATCAAAGTAGACTCCTGGAGAGAAGGAAGAATAAGTACAAAGTAATCATTACAAAGCAAAGCAAAGAGCCACAGTTTCTTTTTTAATCCTACATTCATCACTCTGAAAAAAATCTTACAGTCTTTTTTGAGAATCTTAAGCAGAGGTAGTGGCTGTTTCCATAGTTGTTTATAGAAATACTGGAAGGTCTTAGAGATATCAATCTGACTACAAAGAAAAGGTCAGGAGATTTACTTTAAAGGGAGCTGGCATTAAAAGGACACTGTTGACTCAGCTTGTTGTCTCTGGTGACTTGGTGGACAGGGGTTGATAGAGATTATAGGATACCTAAAGTGCCCTTTCTCCATCCCCCAAGCCACTCCATTGTACTACCCTACAGTCAAGGAACTTAAAAAAATAAAATAAAAAAAACCTACACACAAAACTCCTTTGATAATGATCTTAAAGAATTAATTGTTATACCCAAAATTTGCAGAAAGGAGATGACTGCTGGTACCCCTGTCCTTATGTAATGAGAAGGAAAAATTAAAAGTTAACCAAATGCCATCATATTTCCACAGGGTCCAACAGTACAGCTTCAAAGTTGTCTCACTGCCGATCTCACCTGACTTTCATGCTGTTATATGCTGCGACACAGACTGAAACTAGTAATTAGCTTTCTTGATGCCTAGTTTAGTGCTCTTGATCTGTGGCCCTTCAGCTAAGTAAATATACAGCTAGTGATGACAGGAAAGCAGAGGCTGCTGTGTCCTCCGGCTGCTCCTCCTCCTGTGCGTCTCTAACTATGAAGGCTGTCACAACAGCTGCAGTATAACTGGGACACCTAGAACCCTGGGTCCCAGAGCCTCTCTGGAGAAGAACCTCAACCTTTACACTCTACCTAAGATTCCTCTGTAACCAACTACTCTGTGTATATAACATATGGGACCAAAATAAAAAGATGTGGTCCAAGCAAAGGACAACTTTTCTCCTATTAATTTTTCTTCTGTTATTTCTCCATTGACTTTCTGATTTTGTGCTCCTGTATTAAGTCAGTATAACTGATAGTTTAAAAAGGGAAATTCATAGTATGTTACTTTGAACAATGTAGGAAAGTGGACCAATTCAATAAACTGATCAATCAATATTAACAATAAGTCTTCTTCTTCTAGCTTCTTCTGCTAGCTTCTAAAACAGCTAGAATAATAAAGCATTTATAAAATTAAGCATTATAGCGTTGCTGTTGTTTAGTCACTAAGTTGCGTTTGACTCTGCAACCCCATGGACTGTAGCCCGCCAGGTTCCTCTGTCCATGGGATTTCCCAGGCAAGAACATTGGAGTGGGCTGCCATTTCCTTCTCCAGGGTATCTTTTCCATCAAGGGATTGAACCTGCATCTCTTGCATCTCCAGCACTGGCAGGAGGATTCTAACCACTGAACCACCAGGGAGCCCATTGTAAAACAGCTGAAACAGTATAATACTATCTTGTCATTTACAAGATTTCCAGACTATACAAAGAAAAATTATCTCACAAAATAAAAAATTACTTTTGTTTACAGAGTTCAACAACTAAGGAATCTGAGGGGGAAAATGTCAATGGTTCAACTCAGATTATTATCTCAAATTTTAAGCTAATGATGTAAAAAGTATTTTTGTTTCTAAGATAAATAACATAGCAGTATACTAAAGAACTCATTAAGAAGCCATTTAAGAAAGACAGGAGAATTCTTGTAGAGGTCCATTTCTAGAAAAGAAAGAAAGTGAAGTTGCTCAGTCGTGTCCGACTCTTTGCAACCCCACGGACTGTAGTCTATCAGGGCCCTCGGTCCCTGGGATTCTCCAGGCAAGAGCACTGGAGTGGGGTGCCATTCCTTCTCCAGGGGATCTTCCCAACCCAGGGATTGAACCCGCGTCTCCTGCATTGCAGGCAGGAGCTTTACTATCTGAGTGACCAGGGAAGGACAGATTCAGAGATTAGATACAGACTATTAAGCCTGAGGGCCTGGTGTGAATGCTGTCTCTTGCCACTGATAAAGCCAACTTGGAAAGGAGAACCAGAGAAAACCAAAAGCACTTCTAACTTGGCACAGCAATCTCTACTTCTAAGAATAAGCGCCCAGATATGGCCCAGAGTAGCGTCATTTTTCTTTTTTAAACTATTAGTATCCTTGACCTTTAATATTCTTTGAGAAACTTAAATCACCTTCTCTCTTTTTAACCTTGTAACACTTTTCAAGGTATAATAGGACCTTGAGAGCCGGGGAAAACCTCAGCTCTGATCATATTTATGCAGCATTTTCCTGGCACCCACATTTATCCTACAATAATAAAAACCTTCCTGTACCCCTATTAAGTTGGATTAAAAAAAAAAAAGTCTTTTATGAGGGAGACAAAATAAACTGACCTGTTATCATTTACTGATTCCGCTGCACACACCCTGGCGCTTCAGGCCCTTTATAACCTGGCCTCACTGTACCTTTTACTCTTCTCTCGTTACTCCTTTAACTGTACATTTCAGTCAAATTGTTTCTCATTTGACATTTTTCTGCTTTTGTTCCCAATTTTACACTCTCCAGCTGAAAAGTTTTCTATCCTCAATCAAACCATATCAAAATTCAACTCACGTTTCAAGAACCGTCTCATCTTTTCTAGATCTAATAAACGTACTCTCTCCCTCCTATGATTTCCAATAGTATTTTGGATTCCTACTTTACTCTGCGTTACATCACATTATTCAATTCTCTCCAAATGCTCTAAACTCAAGAAATCTTGAACCATGAGTTTAAAAGAATATAGAATTCCAAAAGACATTTTGAAATTGGGACATGTTCACCCTATTCTCATACATTTTGAAATATACTTTACAAAGGTACCTGATACTCAGAATGCTGAGTCTAAAAAAAAGTCCTTCAAATAAACATGAAAGGTAGCTAAACATTTTAGAGACTCTTCTAAAGCATTTAGAACTATTTATGCTTTGTGTTTCCCCTCATATTACCAATTTAGCTTATCCTATGATAGTTCCATGACAGGATAAGACTTTCTGGGTATTTTGCCTTGTGTATGAATTTGAAAGTACCATGAAAAGAAGAAATGAAAGAAGAGAGGGAGGAAAGAAAGGAGGGAGGGAGGAAGGAAGGAACACAGGGTGAGATGTCTTACTATCTGGTAAAAGGGTGAAAAGATAAAGCAAACAGAAACACAGACAAATCACCTGTCTCTGAAAGAAGACTGCTAATTATAACATTTAGATCACTAATTTAAAAATAACTAAATGACTGGGTAACAGGACACAATTAACTTACCTCCACACTTTGGGTTTGGACAATTGCTGGCTAAACTCAAGTATCTAAGAAGATTCCCAGGAAGATCATAGGGAGTGTAGGAAATATTTCGAATTTTAATGGTCCGTGCAGCTAACTCCAGGAGAGTTGGAGGATCATAGGTTAAATCTCTAACGAAACGAACAACCAGTGGGTTCCCTCGCAAACTCAGTTCTTCCAAATGAATAAGGTTGAGGATCTCTCGAGGCAGGTATGTCAGCAAGTTATTGTGAAGACTAAGGGAACGAAGTGAATGCAACCTAGAATGAAGGCAGTACAAAAATCAACAGCCATAAGCAAGGTAACTACCCAGAAAGTTAAGTGAAGAACTCAATCTCCCCATAAGAATGAGCCATTAAGGTTAATATCAATGCAACTAAAATTAAAAGATGCTGAAACTAAATTAGAGCCCAAATTTGTGTATGTCATAGAATCTTAGAGAGCTCCAAATACTTAAATACTTAGAAAGTATTCTGTGCTAGCTGATATAAATACTAGATGTAAAGGCTTTTTTTTTTTGGGCATGCTTTATCATTCAGATATCTAAAAAAGCAAAGATTTCAAATGCAACAGGAATCAAGCTCCTTCACATTATCTCACTGGGTATGAATGCTACATAGCAAATATGAGTCAACAAAATTCCATAAAACCTTGGGGAACCTATGCCAAAGTAATACCGTATTTTTGATTACAGAAGAGAGGCTCAGCAACTATGGAAAACAGCATGGAAGTTCCTCAAAACATTAAAAACAGACCTGTAATATGATCCAGCAATCCCACTCTGAACATACATTCAGATAAAACTATTATTCGAAAAGATACATGTACTGCTATTTTCACAGAAGTACTATTTGCGACAGCCAATATGTGGAAACAATCTAAATGTCCATTGACAGACAAATGGATAAAGAAGAGATACTCATACACATGCACACACACACACACACACACACACATAATGGAATACTACTCAGCCATAAAAAGAATGATATAATACCATTTGCAGTTACATGAATGGACCTAGATTATCATACTAAGTGAAGTAAGTCAGGAAGAGAAAGACAAATACCACATGATATCACTTACATGTGGAATCTAAAATATAACACAAATGAACATATCTATGAAACAGAATCAGACTCACAGACTCGAAAACACACTTCTGATTGCCAAGGGGAAGTGGGGTAGGGGAAAGAAGGATTGGGAGTTTAGGCTTAGAAGATGCAAACTGTAACATACAAGATAAACAATAATGTCCTACTGTATAGCACAAGGAACTACATTCAATATCCTTTGATTTACCATAACAGAATAAGAAAAAGAATACATACATATGTATAACTGAATCACTCTGCTGTATAGCAGAACTTAACACAACACTGTAAATCAACTGTATGTCAATAAAATTTTTTAAAATAATAAATTTTAAAAACAGAAAAGAGGCTCAGTAATAATGAAGAATATGTCAGAACATTTAAAAGTAAAATTAAAAATAAGCAACCCAATTCACAGCATACCTCAGAGCTTTCTGTATCATTTACTTTGATAACACTTAATTCTTTTCCACATACAAACCATGTGGGTGAATGCTGGACAGTAATTCCTAAGCATGGATGTGTATCTACACATAAACTCCCGAAAATACTCACTGTGAAAGCTGAGGAGGCACACTCTGGATTTTGTTGTCGCATAATACCAAGTAATTTAGAGAGGGCAGATTTCCTAATTCTGGTGGTATTTCTTTGATGAAGTTTCCTCCAAGATATAAACACTCTAAACTGCAAAAATAAATGAAAAAAAAGTTGGACAAGTACCTCATTGTCTTTATTAAAATGAACACGTATCATTTATCCATTCAGCAAATGGATAAATTTTATTCAGGATTTCTTTGTCTATACAGTCTTTGAAGGAAGAATGCAATCTTCAGGGAGCGCAAACAGGCAAGACATTCCAATGTGAGACAGTATTGTAATTAAATGCAAAATAAGGCATCAAATAAGCCCAACATGATTAAAATACCAAAATGAGCAGAACAATCCATAAATGATGTAAGGGTTTAACAAGTAGAGAAATAATAAAAGGACATTAGTTCTGATTAGAAAGGCTCCCAGAAGTGTTGCGACTTCAGCTGGATTATGAATTTAGCCCATTTAGGATAACAGCAGTTCAGGAAGAGAAAGACAAATACCACATGATATCACTTACATGTGGAATCTAAAATATAACACAAATGAACATATCTATGAAACAGAATCAGACTCACAGACTCGAAAACACACTTCTGACTGCCAAGGGGAAGTGGGGTAGGGGAAAGAAGGATTGGGAGTTTAGGCTTAGAAGATGCAAACTGTAACATACAAGATAAACAATAATGTCCTACTGTATAGCACAAGGAACTACATTCAATATCCTTTGATTTACCATAACAGAATAAGAAAAAGAATACATACATATGTATAACTGAATCACTCTGCTGTATAGCAGAACTTAACACAACACTGTAAATCAACTGTATGTCAATAAAATTTTTTAAAATAATAAATTTTAAAAACAGAAAAGAGGCTCAGTAATAATGAAGAATATGTCAGAACATTTAAAAGTAAAATTAAAAATAAGCAACCCAATTCACAGCATACCTCAGAGCTTTCTGTATCATTTACTTTGATAACACTTAATTCTTTTCCACATACAAACCATGTGGGTGAATGCTGGACAGTAATTCCTAAGCATGGATGTGTATCTACACATAAACTACCGAAAATACTCACTGTGAAAGCTGAGGAGGCACACTCTGGATTTTGTTGTCGCATAATACCAAGTAATTTAGAGAGGGCAGATTTCCTAATTCTGGTGGTATTTCTTTGATGAAGTTTCCTCCAAGATATAAACACTCTAAACTGCAAAAATAAATGAAAAAAAAGTTGGACAAGTACCTCATTGTCTTTATTAAAATGAACACGTATCATTTATCCATTCAGCAAATGGATAAATTTTATTCAGGATTTCTTTGTCTATACAGTCTTTGAAGGAAGAATGCAATCTTCAGGGAGCGCAAACAGGCAAGACATTCCAATGTGAGACAGTATTGTAATTAAATGCAAAATAAGGCATCAAATAAGCCCAACATGATTAAAATACCAAAATGAGCAGAACAATCCATAAATGATGTAAGGGTTTAACAAGTAGAGAAATAATAAAAGGACATTAGTTCTGATTAGAAAGGCTCCCAGAAGTGTTGCGACTTCAGCTGGATTATGAATTTAGCCCATTTAGGATAACAGCAGGAAAGAGGAACTTCAGGTTCCTCTTCAGGAAAGAGGGTTTTTATGGGATAATGAGTATACCTTTTGACACATGAAAGAATTCATTTTGAGGAACCCAGAGTGCAGCTGGAGAAAGGCCAGATTATAGGAGCCCTGTATTCTATGCTGGTGGGTTTGGATTCAATACATTATCATTCCACTGAAGAACGGAAAAACATGCTTAAGTTTATATTTCGTCTTTGCTCTTATTATAGCAACTGTAAACTTCAGAGGCTAACTAAACAAATTATGCAAAACTGAACCAGTAACATGAAATTAAAGTTCTGGTTAATCATCTTATTTTCTAATAATGCTAACAATATTTTAGACACAGCATATATAGAACCAAAATGTACTGCTACTCCTTGTGGTGATGACTGGCAGACAGGCTCTCTCCAAAACTTTCTGGAGCAGGGAGAGCAGAGGTGGCACAATCAGTTCTTACTGTATACCTAAAACATACACATACAGATCTTCTCCATTACTATGTTATTTTGTCTTCCTGCTATATCTGCTAACTCAATAGACACTATCATTCTTTTAAGATAACTTTAAATGCAGGGAAAAATAAGTTTACTCAGTTCAGTTCAGTCACTCAGTCACGTCTGATTCACCCAAACTTGTGTCCATTGAGTCAGTGATGCCATCCAACCATCTCACCCTCTGTTGCCCCCTTTTCCTCCTGCCTTCAATCTTTCCCAGCACCAGGGTCTTTATAAATGAGTCAGATCTTTGCATAAGGTGACCAAAGTTTTTGGAGTTTCAGATTCAGCATCAGTCCTTCCAATGAATATTCAGGACTCATTTCCTTAGGACTGACTGGTTGGATCTCCTTGCAGTCCAAGGGNCTGCTCTCTCCATGGTCCAACAATTGTTGGCAATTTTATCTCTGGTTCCTCTGCCTCTTTGAAACCCAGCTTGTAGATGTGGAAGTTCTCAATTCACATACTGCTGAAGCCTAGCTTGAAGGATATTGAGCATAACCTTGTGTAATGAGCACAACTGTATGGTAGCTTGAACATTCTTCAGCACTGCCCTTCTTTGGGACTGGAATAAAAACCAACCTTTTCCAATCCTGTGGCCATTGCTGAGCCTTCCAAATTTGCTGACATATTGAATGCAGCACTTTCACAGCATCATCAGCATCATCATTTAGGATTTGAAATAGCTCAGCTGGAATACCATCACCTCTGCTAGCTTTGTTCATAGTAATGCTTCCTGAGGACTGCTTGACTTCACACTCTAGGATGTCCTGCTGGAGGTGAGTGACCACACCATCATGGTTATCCAGGTCATCAGGACCTTTTCTGTGTAGTTCTTCTGTGTATTTCTGCCACGTCTTTTTAATCTCTTCCGCTTCTGTTAGGTCCTTACCATTTCTGTCCTTTATCATGCCCATCCTTGCATGAAAAGTTCCCCTGATATCTCAAATTTTCTCCAAGAGATCTCTAGTCTTCCCATTCTATTGTTTTCCTCTATTTCTTTACATTGTTCATAAAAGAAGGCATTCTTGTCTCTCCTTGCTATTCTCCAGAACTCTGCATTCAGTAGAGTACACTGGAAGGTCAAAAAAGGTTTATCTTAGGAGGTGACACTTGAATGGAGATCTGACTGAAATGACTGAGGGAGCACAAATCTCTGAGGTGGAAAAAAGCTTGGTGTGCTGTGAAAGAGCAACACAGCCAGTGTGGGTACGTCAGGGTGACAGAGGGGTTTAGCAGAGGTTGGCGAAGTTAGGAAGGTAGCCTGGGGAAGCCAGATCACAGACGACCTTCAGGCCTTAGCAAGGATTCTGAATTTATCCTAGGTAGAAGGGGTGTGAACAAAGGTTAGTTGTGTAACTTGACTTACACTTTAGAAGGATCACTTCAGTTACTGTATGGAAAACAGTAGAAGTGGCAGGGAGAGGTGAGTACAATGGGACGGTGAGAGCAGGAAGACCAGACTGGAACCCATGGCGGTCAAGTTCAGATGTAAAATGATAGAGAGATGCTTGGTACATCTTTTTCTACCCTTTACTTTAAACCTACTCAGGTATTTCTATTTTAAGTAAAACTCTCATAAACAGTGCACAACTTGAATGTTGATGTGTTTTCCCTGGTGTTTTCTATTACCATGGTGTATCTCAATATCTTTTTCCCCAACAGCCTGCTTTTGGCTGTGTCCATCAAGTTTCCTTTTGTCTCATTCCTCCTCTATTATTTTGAATTGTATGTGCTACATCTATTTTGTTAGTAGTTACCCCTTCAATTTCCTTTGCCCTTCTTCTAACTCCCAAACACACATCCATGCTCACTTCTCTGTCATCTCCATATTATCATCTTGAATTACTTCTACCTTGACTTGAAAATAAACTAAAATTTATTCCCAATCAATAATTACTCAGAATCATCAGTAAGTTTTATCAATTTCTCTGTTTACCACTGTTTTTGGCAGTTGCTATTTCTTTTAAAGTTCATTTTTCTGGGAGTACATCCTTTAGAAGTTCTTTCAGTATGGACTCACAAGTTGTTCATCTTTTAGTCCTTTATCTCAGATTTTTTTTTTTTTTAAATATCTGATGTTTTTATATTTTCCCTTCACACCTTAATAATAGCTTGGCTGGGCATAAAATTCTAGGTTGACAAATACTTTTCCTTAGCACGAGGAAGATACTGTTCTACTATCTTATTACAGCCCATATTACTATTATTCTTTGAAGGTAATCTATTTTACTTATTAGGAGTTTTCATGATCTTTTTTCTTTATCCTTACTGTTCTAAAGGCTTTTTTTAAGCTGTATCAAGATACCAGTTTAGAGTGCCCTCTTTCTTTAATTGTGGGAAATTCTCAACTACTATTACTTCTGGCACTGCCTTTCCTATATTCTCTCTATTCTCTTTTTGGAATTCCTAGCAAATAGCACTTTGAACTTCAGGATCTATTTTCCACCTCTGTTAACATTTCTTTCATAGTTTCTACTTCTTTATCTTTTTGTGTGGCTTTTCAGAGTGTCTCAGTAATCTCTTTATGCTTACTGATTCACGGCTCACCAGCTGACTTCAGTCTGCCAATCAGCCCACTGAGTTCCTAGTCAGATATTTTTATTTCTAGAAATTCCAATTGGGGTTTTCATAGTTATCAGTTTTAAAAGTTCTTCTTTTTTTTTTGCACTGATGAAGTTGCCTCCTTTATCCTCTGAAGTTAGGAAATAAACTTAAAGTCCTTTACAGGCTGCCTTATACATATTTTCTCAGATAAAATTTCTTCTATTTGTTGATTTTCTTATCTGTATTTCATAATCTCATATTTCCTTGATGTATGGTGATTCAAAGAGCCATTTGAATCTGAATCTCTGTCATTTAAAAAATATATTTATGATACCTCTTTTCTATTCTTATTGGGTGAATCTTTCCAAGACTGCATTTCTCTCTTTAGATTTACAATGCTCAGTAAAAGTAAACAGAAAACTTTAATCCTGACAGCCTATTTTATTTTTCTCTTTTAAGTATCATCTTGTGGCAAAAATCAAGAGTCTGGATACAAAACTGAATTCTCCTACATTTAAGTGCTTAAGCACTGGTGAAAGAGGTTCCTAGGCAAGATTTTTTTTTTATCTTACACATTATGGTATAAGCTATTTCTCAGTTACTTAGAAATTTCTATTTTTCAAACATGACAGCTACCAGAACAGAATGGAATGGAATAGAGTAGAGTAGAAAAGAATATTTGGAATCCAAAACAGAAACTTCTCTGAAAAAAACATTTTTTACTGAGACTACTAAGAAAAAAATTTTTTAGCATACTGGGAAGTCCTTTTATAAAGGATCTGACAGTAAAATAACAACTTGCAATTTAGTCTTGTGAGGAAGAAAAGAAAAGAAAGTGAATCTGACAGCAAATATAAATATGGTCCTTTCTATACATTTAAGTCAGGAACTAAGATAAACTACCATCTGGTAGCCAGTTACTACTTAGTGTTTTCTCTTTGTGTTTTGGAGTTGGTGGGGAAGTACATAGAAAGGATGCCAAACTTTTAATAGTTAACGTGACTTTGGCAGAAAAAGATATGATGTCCCAAAATATAACCAAATCCATGATTTCAAAACCATATGAATCTCTTTGCAACTGATGGGTATCATTAATTAGCATATACAATCAGCATATTAAATTTACATTTTTAGGTTTATGTACCACTTTCAAACTCAAATAATTTCCAAAATTCTTGGACTTAAAGCTTTTCAATGATTTGTGGGAATTACATTTCTAAAACACACTCTACTATTTCCAAAATGCTTTTCTATAAGGATAAAGGAAACTACTGTAGAATTTAAAGCAAAACTGTAGTGTTTATGTTTAAAAGTTCTTGTTTTTGTCAACATTGCACTTGTCAATCAGCCTTGAAACAACTCTATTCTTTTGGTGTTTGACAAAAAAACAAAAATCAGGAAAATCATTCACAAAATTTGGAGAATTCTTCCTTTCATTTTTTTTAGGGTTAACAGGCCAACCTTAAATTTGTTTCCTGAAGAGTATCTCACCTCTCCAATCCTTAGGGATACTGGGTGCCTTTCTTCTAGGAAGCCCAGTGACCCACTAGAAAAATACACTAGGCTCCCCTCAGTGCCAAACAACTTAAACACAGGTGTAAGTAGGACATGTTTTGTTTTTCCCCCCAAACAAAAATCATGTTAAATATAACAAATATATACATGAGTCCTATATTATGGTTGGTAACACGGAGATGGACTTAAAGTAAGACAGACTGGTTTATAAAGAGGCAGAAACCAGAAAATAAGAGAACAGAAAGCTAAGAATCATACACTTGTGGATCAAGAAAGTTGTTTTCCTGAGGTAGCATGTTCATACTAAATGATTTTCAAATACTCACCACAGGCTTTTAAAGTACATTATATGTTCAAAAGCAGAAGCACAAATGTAGGAATCATTTCTTGGTATTTGCCTCAGACTAAGGCATTGAAAGAAAGAAGCCAGAAGGAAGAATTGAGAGCCAGAGAAAAACTCAGTATGTGACTCTAATGGGGTAAAGAGTTTTGATTTAAGTTTTACTGCACTCTTTTATCATCTGGTTGAGTCATCTCTTTTTATAAGATATCAACCTATTGCAGGCTAGCTTCAAAACATTCCAGGACATTAATATTTAGTTTTTATTTCTATCACAATTCTCATATTTTTAATTTCTAAAGCAACCTGGAAAAGGTCAGTTTTCATTCCAATCCCTAAGAAAGGCAATGCCAAAGAATGTTCAAACTACCTCACAACTGTACTTATCTCACACGCTAGTAAAGTAATGCTCAAAATTCTCCAAGCCAGGCTTCAGCAATACNAATGGAAAAGACTAGTGATCTCTTGAAGAAAATTAAAGATACCAAGGGAGCATTTCATGCAAAGATAGGCATATTGAAGACTAGAAATGGTATGAACCTAACCTTGGACTGCAAGGAGACCCACCCAGTCCATCCTAAAAGAGATCAGTCCTGAGGGTTCATTGGAAGGACTGCTGTTGAAGCTGAAACTAAAATACTTTGGCCACCTGATGCGAAGAGCTGACTCATTAGAAAAGACCCTGATGCTGTAAAAGATTGAAGGCAGGAGGAGAAGGGGATGACAGAGGATGAGACGGTTGAATGGCATCACCGACTCAATGGACATGAATTTAAGTAAACTCTGGGAGTTGGTGATGGACAGGGAGGCCTGGCCTGCTGCAGTCCAGGGGTCGCAGAGTCAGACACAACTGAGCAACAGAACTGACTGACTGAAAGCCACATCAGGCAGATAGTGAAATAGGTTATGGTCAAAACAAGAATTATACCTACTTTTCCAACATTGTAAGAACAAAACCAAGTTTCTCCATATATTAGCTGAACAGTTATTATACCTACTTGTTGAATAAGAACTTCATATTTTGATGAAAAGAATCTACACCTACAACCTCATGATTCACACTGAGCCTAATTTACTCCAGGGGAATGAAGTTAATCATAAAAATAGGATTTTCACCTTCTACTTATTTGTTATTCTTCAAAGTCATCTTTCAGAAACCACTTTTTAAAAGTTTTATCACTAGGATCAACTGAGTACAGGAAACGAACATCAAGATAACCTGCTAAATCTGGAGGATCAACTCCACCAATTAAGCCAGGAGTATTTATTTGTTATTCCCTCCTGGAAGGATGGAAGGTGGGGAAAAAGGGAACCTTTACATGGATTATATACTCTGCACTATTTTTTAAATTGTTAAAGAGGGCAGATATATTCCAAGTATCCAGAAACACCTCAATTGGTTTTAAAAGCAACTTAGCACAATACACAAAATACATCAAGGTTACCAATGAGGTCGAGGGAGCCCACGTATATTCTAAGAGAAAATGGTGTTCTTGGGCAGGTACCTTAGTTAGGGTTTGAGTAACCAAACTTTTGCCTCTCCTTTTTTGAAGCTTTAATGTATTACTTCAGTACTAAGTAGTAAGCAGCCTACGAGGACTGAACCACATGAATCACACTGTCACTATTTGGCCTCAAGCAAATCAATGATACTAAATCTCAGTTTCTTCATCTGTAAAAAGAGGGTGAATCAGGCCAAATGCCTAGGCTGTCTCTGCTTCTAAGAGTATGGCATTTCTACATGACCCTTTCAGCCTACATTTGATTAGTGTCTATATTTGGAGCATATAATCTAAACATTTACGGATTCTTATCAGTAAAAAGAAATAGAGCATACAATTGAAAAGTGAAAACACTGACATAAAAGCGTCTACACACAATTGGAGACAAAGGGGCAATGACCAAAAACCACACATAGTGGTCCAGAAAATGAGATCAATCAGGAAAATGGCTTTAGCCACAGTCCTGATCTGATCCAAGAGAACAGCAGTCAGAAGAATTAGGTTCTAGCCCTACTCTGTCACTGTGAGAAATTCATGTGTTTGAAGTCAGAGATCCCAAAGGTCAAATCCAGTTCTACCATTTATTGGCTTTGTTATATAAAGATTTGATTTCTCAGGGCCTCAGTTTCTTCCTCACAGAAACACTGTGAAAATTAAAAAGCATATTCAGAGGACCTACCACAAGGCCTGCTGCACTGTAAGTATTTTGAAAAAAACAGGACTTTTGCCTACCTTTTCCCCCATGTGATGGAAATAATATTTATCCTGAGTTTTCCTTAGTATGTTTAAAAAAAATTCAAATGAGAATGTTGTAACTACATAACATCAAAATTAAAAAGAACAAGGTCTGACAATTTTACATTTAAATCCCTCTCCAACTCTATTTCTTACTATGTCTCCTAGCATTACCCTAGTATAAGCCACCGTCGTCTCTCATTCTAGTAGAAGAGACTCCTTCCAACCAGCCCTCAAAGTCTCTTCTCAGCTCTTTACTCCCTCCCCACTCTATTCCTCCACAGCAATAAGACAGCCATGCTTTTATAAAACTCAGGTGTACTTCGAATAAAATTCAAGCTTTACCATGGCCTTCAAGTTATGACATGGCCTAGGATCTGGTCCAAATTTATATTTGCCACCTTTCCTGTTGCTTACTTTCTCACTATGCTCTAGTACAATGACCTCCTTTCAAAATTTTGGCCTTCAGTCCTTCTTGCCTCTGGGCTTTCACGTGCACTGTTCCTTCAGCCTGGACTGATCCCATCCCATCCTCTCCTGGTTAACTCCTAACTCTACCTTTAAAAGCTCACCTCAAATGTTACTTGCTCAAACCAAACTAAGTTAGTTCATTTCAAGGCACTCCTACTTCTTCACAAAACTTTAACAACTGTAATTAGACAATGAAGTTAACAGCTGTTTAACCTCTCCTCTGTTACAATGCTCCAGGAGGGTAGGATCCCTTTCATCACTGGATCCCCAGCACCTAGGACAGTGCCTGACGCAGGGTAGGTACTCCATAAAAATCTGCTGGGGAGTAAACAAAGGGACATCTTGTCCAAGTGCCTTCCTTTGCAGATTAGGAAACTGTAGTCACGATATGGTAAGGGACTTGCCTAAGCCTGGGACACCAAGAGTTCTTACTCTCAGGTCAGTGTTTTTTCCACTACACTTAACTCTGAGGTCCCTTTCAGCTCTAATATCTGGTTATCTCAGAAAACTCAATAAAGGATGCAAAAACACTTTAGAGATGGTAGTTACTTTTCTTTCACTTTGGACAAAACACTTGCTCTTGCTTTATTTCCCACTTTATTGAAGGGACTTTTGTTATTTCTCTGCTTCCTTCTTCCATTTAATTCAACATATATTTACTGAATAATCCAGTCGATGAGTATGAGGGGCTCCGGAGCTCCCGGACCCCGTCCTGGGCCTCCCTACTCTCAGGAAGGCACCCACTCACCTCCTCAAGTTCTCGATCTCGGCCGGGATGCTCTGAAGCTGGTTGCCGCCGAGGCTGAGGGTCTGCAGCGCGCGCAGCTCCAGCAGCGAGGTGGGCACCTCCTGGAAGCAGTTCCCGCTGAGGTTAAGCACCTGGAGGCTGCGGCAGAGCGGCGACTGGGCCAGGCCCTTGGGGAGGGCACCCGGCCCGCCGAGCCGGTTGTTCTTGGCCAGCAGCGTGCGCAGGCCGCGCAGCGCCAGCAGCTCCGGCCCCAGCGCGGTCAACGCGTTGCCGCTCACGTCCAACAGCTGGAGGTGCGGGAAGCCGCTGCCCAGCGCCCGCGGCAGCGACACCAGACGGTTGTGCGGTAGCAGCAGCCGCAGCAGCGCCTCCCGCGCGCCGCGTCGCTCCTCGCCCCGCGCCTCCAGCTCCGACTCCAGCGTCTCAAGAGACACACTGAGGCGAGACAAGTTCAGTTCGGCCTCCCCGGCTGTGGCCACAGCCGCTCCAGCCTCCTCCATCCCGGCCGCCGCAGAGGGCCGCGCTCGACCCACAGGCCGGGAGCTCCGCGGCGCCCCGGAACCTGAACCTCGGGCTGCGTCGGAAGTGGCGCGAGCGGGCGCTAACCCCGCGCGCCC